TGCTTAACTAATGATTATTCTGCTAATCAAGTAATCTACTGATTATTTTGACAAGTGAGCAATCTGATATTTTTAGTAATACAAATAGAACTAAGTGGAAAAACAGGCTTTAATGTGACTATATTTATATATAAAGTAACGATGAGGCAATAATAATTGGCCTCAAATAAAGTATCAAAATCAAGTAGGCTACATGGTTTTATTGGCCAATTATTATTGCCTCATCGTTACTTTATATATAAATATAGTCACATTAAAGCCTGTTTTTCCACTTAGTTCTATTTGTATTACTAAAAATATCAGATTACTGATAATACATAATGTAATATGCCTATATTATAACAAATACCTGCAGAGGGCGCCAATGGCCTGGTGATGTTTCATACTGGTAAATTACCGTTAAGGGATCATGTGTGAACAGTACCTTTTAAAAAATACAGATAAATGCATTCTGGCAATCATATCGTTCTTATGGAGATGACATGATTACTCTGAGCTGTTTACAAAGCTCCACTGCTGTTTAGTAGCTTTTCTATTTAAATATGACACTAGATGGAAATCTTTGAACATTGCGCTTCTCAGCTTTTTCAATGTGTCGCCCTGAACTTTAAGAACTTTGAGAACTTTAAGCCCTGAATACATAATATTTTGTTCTATTATTTATTATTATTATAATCATTCAATAAAAGCACTACTTTATACAGGAGTTAGTCAAAATAATGTGAACACCCATTATTATAGGGGTTCACATAATACCTTTTATGTATTTATTTTTCAATGTCTACTGTTTATACTTCGTTTAAGACGCTTCAATTTACTAAAGCTTTACAACAGACACCAATGCTACATGCTGTTATGATCTTAAATCCTGAACAACTGGAGCACCTAGATGAACTTCAACATCTGTCCTGGTCAGACAAATCACCTGAATATGATCGAACACTGTGAGCATTTTAATGGAGAGAACGGTGAGAAGCAGACTCCCACCATCAACATCTACATCTTAACCAACAGGCAGATTAGTCTATTTTAAGAAGGTTGGAAGCTGTGGTAAAACACCTTAATCAAATATTGCCTATTTTGCAGGTGTTCACATTATTCTGTTGATCTTACATGTATGAAGATGCAGTCCTCCACTGGTCTTTAACATTAACTCTATGAATGACAGTTTTACACATGTTGAGTAATTATATTCCCCATACACAAATTACTTTGTTAATTGTGCCATCAGGGTTTGCTTCATAAATAAATTACCTGAAAAAAAGGGTCATTCACCATCCTTAATTATTAACGAGAGCCAGTCCTAGTTTAAATGCCAGAGCATTCAGACCAGGCCTTGGCCATGCAGCTCACCTGTAGCGTCTTGTCAAACCAGCGATTGCCGCTGTTTGAGAAAGTCCCACCGCCATGCAAAATCTGTGCTGCCATTCGACTAGAATACCTGCCAACAACCAACATCCTTAGCACCACATCAAACCATCACCGGTACAGATTAGATGAAAATACACTGCTTAGCTCTAGTGACTGTCAGTATCATCCACAATCAATCAATCACAATGTATAAACAACTCTTACTTCTCATCAGAAATCCTCATAACCGGAGAGTCCAAGCACAACGTAAAGATCGATTTCTCTATCAGCCTCACAGATTCTTTATTGATTTTATCTGAAGAGGCAAAAAAATAAACAAACAAAAAGTTTAAATCAAGCATAAAACTCGAGACAGTGGAACTATGCAGCTAGATGGTAAAGAGTGACTGGTTTCAAAATCCACAATGAGTGAAGCCAGAGACTGGCCTCGTATATAACAACCCTGCTGTGCATCACTCTTGCTAATGGATCTTTCCTGGATTTGTGTTTAACAGTAGTGGAGTGTGCAGGTCAGGTTTACCTCTGAGCAAGCGCGTGTAAGCCTGACCCCAGGTGTGACGATGCTCGCTGGTCAAAATCCCCATCGGTTGCTTATCTGTTTTCCACGACTGAGAGCGGATCCGCAACAGCTGAGCATGGATCTGACTTTCTGTCAATGGTGTCCCATCACTGTTGTACACATCCAGCTGGAAAAACTACACACAACCACTGAATAATCACTAAGATATATATGTGTGTTTGTTTTAAAGAAACTGTATACTCGTAGAATTATAATGTGTATATAACCTGATTTATTACAAGAACCATAGGCGCCGAATTGTTTCTGGCCAACCTCCCCGGAGGAAATTAACAAATATCCCGCTCATTGTTACGACTTTAAGCCTACTTCCACATAAGAATCCATGCGACTGCCTAAATATGAGCTACTGATAATAAAAAAACTGCTCAGACACAGTTTTATCCAGGCTCATTTCCAGAATCAAATACTGAGTGTGTTTCGGAAATTAGTGAGTGTGCTCTAGCCCAAACGCACATACATTTTCACGGATATTTTTTGTCCCGTCCACTGCACTTTCGAGTGTGAATCCCCCATAAATATGCGGTTGTTGTTCCCGAAACTTTGCAGTGTGTACGTACGCGAAAAACATTTAATGTGCGCGAAAATGTGTTCAAGATAGATATGTCTGTGGCTGGCGACATCACTGAACGCTGCAAAAAGCCATCTTTATATATATTGCTACGTGTATTGCGTTAGGCTAACAGAGACTTGTCATAGCCCTTGCATATCATTGCTCTTTTGTGGGTTTTGATTGCTTCTATTGTAATCAATTGTAAGTCGCTTTGGATAAAAGCGTCTGCTAAATGACTAAATGTAAAATGTAAATATAAAAATATGTAAATAGAGACCTTTTGACGCTCTTCAGAGCGCAAACACATATGCACTGGATAGTTTACCAGATCTGTTTCGCCATTATGATTTTTATGAGTTGTAGAATCATGACTTTATCTATTTTGATCATATCATCTTACTAGGTAATCTAGGTTACCTGGTAGTTCCTGACCACTGTAATGTGAGCTGGGCCACGGCGTGGGCGTCCATAGTGAATCACATGGTCATGTTTGGGTCCTGGGATTCGACAGGAGGAGAACAACTGAGGAAACAATTCCATACATAACGGCTGTCCGCGCATGTACTCTACCCCCAGCCTTCCACTGGATGAGCAAGAGAGGACATGTGGACAGAAATCAAGGGGAAAAAAAGAGATAGGGAGTCACGCTGAGCTACAGACAGCAACAGTATGATATATTTAGAAATAATATCACGATATTAAGATCCAGGGTTTGGCACTGCTCGACTGAAACACAAATTAGCACAGGTGCTCGGACATAAATAGGTAAATCTGCCACTGTGTGTCAATATCGTCCAGACCTGTCCACCTGAGCTTTGAAGTCCAGCACTCCTGCAATTAGCTTCGATGCAAACCTGCACAAGAAACAATGTAGACATATAGACATTACGCACATGTAGATTAAAAACACAGATAAAAGAGCATATCAGATAAAACAGCTTGTTTAATGCTTTGATTTTACTGTGCAATCAATTATCTGAACCAACCGAAGGGAAAGTTAAGATCACTGAAGATGACATTTAAGTCTGTAAGGGTGTTTGTTTGTTTGAGTGTGTGTTGATTCTGGCTGTCACATACACTAGTTGGCCTCTCCAGTCAGTGAAGTCACGTTTGGGCAAAGAGATGGCAGGGTTCGAATGCACTGCCAAGGGCTGCCTGCACTCCAGGTACGCCCACTGCACCCACCAATCTGAAATCTGCAAAAAAGTCAAGACACACACACACACTCACAAAATACTCCAGATCAAGCTAAACACACTAGTGCGCCTAAAATAAACATGCACAATCAGAGTGAAAACTGCTGCACACAACTATGATGCCAAAAACGAGGCGGTTCATTAGGTTTTGAGAGACAAACATTCTTTTACAAATACTACTCTTCTTATAATTCCATCATCCTTGCATCCTCCTAAAACGGAGAAGGTAAGACCCAAGGAAAGACGATGAGGATGCACAGTTTAAAGGGGTCATGACACTGATTTTTTTATTATTTTAATATGTTCCTTGAGGTTTACTCATAATGTCAATAAAGTTCTTTTACACACACAAAAAATAAAAAATAAATAAATATGTGGAAAAATGATTATGTTCAACCCTGACTCTGAACCTCTCTCTAAAAGGAGCTGTTTTAAGGGGGCAGGTCCTTTAAGGCTTGTCATGAATCAGCCACTATGATTGGCTAACAGGAAACAGTATCAATGCCCCCTTGCTACTGCATGTGTGTTTTGAGCATTATGAAATCACGCATTTACTTACGGTTTGTGATGCAGCTGCAGTCAGATCTAGTATCGCTTCATCTTTCAACAAATGTTTGTGAACTCTCCATGACACTGTGCCTCGTTTACAAGACAAAATGCTCCGATCAATCCTCTGACATGATCCGGGATGCCATTAAACAAACTATCCGCTTGTTCCTTCCGCTGGGACCCTTCTGATATCTGTACAAAGACGCGAATGAGCCATTTAAACCAAACGCGTCAAAGCGCACGTTCTTTCACTGCATTTGTCCTGACGACAGACTCGAGTGAGTGGACTGTGTCAGAGCGAACGCACATCTGTATACTGTATCCAGCTAAGACAAGATAGTGCAGTGATTGTGATTTCTATTTGCTTTTGACACGACACGACACGACACTCGCATTCAGTGCAATCAAGTGTCAGCCGACTGAACGCCAGTAGCCGGGGCCTATGCTGAGAAGAAGACCATTCGTCGATGTCTTGTTCTGGAGGCGGTGTTTATGCAAATGTTTGTGCCCCCGTGACGTCACCTTGCCCCTCGGCTCCAAAATGAGCCGTTTTGGAGCTTGATTAAATAATAGGGGTGTTGAAATTAATCGTTGCATCGCGATGCGGATGTGGACGATTCTGCATCGATGCTGTAATAGACCATAATTGATAATAGCCTACTGACATCATTCGCATACGCAGGGCAAATGGGTGCTCTAAGCAGGACTGTGTTGTTGTGAAAAAAAAAAACATCTATTGTAGGGGTTAATATAGAACTTTAATAAAATCTAAAAGTAAATAAATGAATAATTTTTATTATTTACAAATTACAATTGTAGCTCAGACAGTTACCTATTGCTATGACTTTATTAATACAGTTGTCTGATTGATTTTATAGTCTCAAGCAATCAGAAATCACGCAAAAGAAAATTAAGCAGTTTTACTACGATAAAACCATGGTTAATTTTTGTAAGGGTTGTGATGTCCACGTGTTTTTTGTTGAAGAAATTATAGAGGCCGTGTCATCTATAGCAAAAAAGGTGGCCAAAAATTAAAGATTGAATTAATAAAAAAGTGGATATTTGAATTAAATGTTTGGTCAATAGCCTATTAAACAAGGATTTGATTGTCCTGTAAGTGTAGCAGCAGCAATTACATGGCCTTTGGCTCCCTTTGCAGGCATTTGTTATAAAATGTAATGTACGTAAATTGTTTATTTTGTATTAGCCTACATTATGTATTTTAACAGTGTTATTCGATGAAACCATATAATTATTAATTAACCAATCATTATTGCCTCATTGTTTTTATATAATGCATTTTAAGTCATTTTAAAGGCTATTGATGGCTTAGGTCTTTTTTTATAACCACAAAAAAATATTGTCTTAATACTTCTTTGTAAATTATTATTTGAAGTAACAAAACCATGGTTAATTTGCGGTTACCACCATGGTTACAAGAACGATGATTTTTGATCTTATTCGTTTTAAAACCATGGCTAATTTTCGTAATGGAACATGTAAACTCAGAGATAATATTAGATGTGTTGGTGGTGGTGAAATTATTTCCGACATTAAAACACGTTATTAACGTCAACAGGCCAAAACGTTTTTTAGCTCTGTTTTTTTTTTCTCTCTCTCGGCGACAGATTGCTGATTTCTTTTCACGGGCATAGTTGTACATCAATTATGATCATTTGCATTCAGCTGCAAACACGAGGTGCGAGCGGTCGCATGCGGGAATGGCATGTCAGGTAATGGCGTTGTTGAGCGCTCCAGATGCAAACTTTGCATGCAGCAGTCAGGCAGCAATTGACAGCACTCTGATCTAGTGGCATACAGGCATCGTCAGATTGCCAGTACACTAGCCCAATAATGTTGGGGGATCCAGTGGGGGCTGCATTTATATTTCAGGGTGACCGTGCCACTCTTTATCACAACCCTGCTAAAAGTGCCAGTACGTGCGCTCATTGGCACCCCTTCAGCTGGTGGCGCCCTAGGCGACCGCCTAGCTCGCCTATGCCTAGAAACGGCCCTGCCCCTGGGAGTTGGTGCCCAACGCAAACTGCGTATAGGGAGTGGTGGTACTGCGCATACGTGCTTGTCCTGAGTATTACAAAATGCACCCACTATTTTTAAATCTGAGATCTGGGCACATTTTTGAAAAAAACAAGCTTAGTGTGTGCGCTAGAGAGAATCGCGGCGACCTTCATTGCACAGAATATGCGATGTGAGACATGTGTGCATTGCTTGACAGTGCTTCCAGTTCCACCTGCCGTTATTTCAGAGTTTTACTTTAGACATGCTTTCATCTCTGCCGTTTGAAATGCAGTATGTACTCAAGTACTGACAGACTTTCACAGCGCTGTGTGTTTGTTTGTCCTGAAGCTCGATAGCGGCTGCGCTTAAAAACACTTGCATCTCCAAATACTTCCGTGATACGAAATCGATGTAAACAGTCAGTTATATGTTTTCAGAACAGTTCAAACATCTGATATGTGGAAATAGATCTGTGCATTAGTGTGAATGCAGCCTATTAAAGCTGCCACTGTATATGATGGCACCAGTAGTAATCAAACAGGAAAAAAGAAAAACCCATAACTATGTTTGTCTGTAAACTTTCGGACACTTAAAAGCACTCTCAGATACTGAAAGTACTTTTTGTTTATCACTTGTAATTGCTTTTCTCCCTTTATTACTTTATATATGCTTGTAAATTTTGAAGCTATATTTAATTGGTTTAATTCTTAACAATTGTTTTGATTTATTATTAATTTGCCATTCTTTTTAAAAGTAGCCTTAATTTAATAAAAATAACAAAATATATTTGATATAATGTAATGCATCGGGATATCAAATTGAATCGAATCGTTGACATGGTAATCGAAATCGAATTGAATCGTGAAACCAGTGACTGATTCACACCCCTAAATGTTTTGTTTATAATGAGAAGGAGGTTTTAAGCTATGAAACTTGCAGGATGTTTTAATGGTACAAAGACCTCTTATATGCCAAAAGATCAAGGCAAATTTGATTTCTCATGTCATGACCCCTTTAAGAACTGAAAGGCACCCATTAGCAGTAGCCCCATTAGGCCTATTATGGCATGTCTAATTTAAACAAAAAAGTACCACAGTACTAAAGTCTAAACAAATAAATCATGATATTGACGTTTTATATTGTTAGTGCTGTTCTCACCCAGTTGTGTGAGTGCTTTGCTCTCTTAATCAGCTCTCTTTGCAGGTTTTCGCCCAGACCTCCAGGGCAGCCGAACTTCTGCACGATCCCGCGGGTGTGCTCCAGCTCCTCCGGCGGCAGGAGCGGCTCCAGGGCCGTCAGGTAGCGCTGCAGCGTCTGGAGGAGCGGAGGCACCGGCTGCGGCCGAACCGAGGAGGAGTGGGCCTGCCTCAGCGTGGCCTGGACGGACGAAGTGAGGAACTCAGCTTCTCACTTAAAATACACTTCAGAGTCACTTCCCTCATATCCTTATGCAAGACCCCTCAACTCAAAGACAGATGTTTGCATCTGTATGTTAATATATAAATGCTTTATATTTTACACGTTTTTTCTAATAATCATCCCTTTTAAATGTGAATGTGCTTAACACCCATAAAAGCACGCGTACAATATGTGCACCATACTACACAACACTTACCTTGAGCATGAATAAAGAGCATATTCTTGGAGGTATTCTCTCTAAAATCATTGTTCTACGTGTGTTTGTTGCTCACGGTGAAGTAGCACACTAGTAGGCTACTTAAGCTTGCGCAAACATGAAGTCACGGAGACTCTGAATCTTCATCGATGATATTACGGTAAGATAACGCGTTATTCTAAAGGCACAAAACAAGACCGCAGTAAACTACTGTGAGTTGAAGTGTTCAGTCTGTTAGTCTGTTAGTCGTCTGAAGTTCGTGAGCTTCGGGTGTGGACGCTGAAACACGTGTGCAGTGTTTAGTGTGGACTGCCGTGTTATTTCGTGTATGTGCGCATAAACAATTAGACGAGGACAAGGAAATCTATTCAGAGCCTGAAGAGAAGTGCCTCCAAGGTTAACAAAAATGTCATACAGCAGTACACTGGCAAGGAGGCAATATGCCATTTTTAAAGAGATAGTTGATTCATCAATCATTAATCATAATTGATCAAACTTGCAGGGCTGTGGCAAGCATGCAAGGCCCCCCTCTGTCAGGTTGGTTCTGCAGAGTATTCCAGACATATATGACCCCATCAGGACACTTTTTTTTATTCATCTTATAGTGTATTAAAGTAAAATGAAAGGTGATAAGGGAACTTGCTTTCCTGTCAATTCAAAATGAGCATTGAATGACCTGAAATACCCTATAAATGTGACCCTGGACCACAAAACCAGTCATAAGGGTCTTTTTTTAATTATTATTAAGATTTATACATAATCTGAAAGCTGAATAAATGAGTTTTCCATTGATGTATGGTTTGTTGGCCGAAATACAACTTAAAATCTGGAATCTGAGGGTGCAAAAAAAAATCCAAATATTGAGAAAAGTTGTCTTTAAAGTTGTCTAAATGAAGTTCTTAGCAATGCATTTTACTAATCAAAAATTAAGTTTTGATGTATTTAGGAAAGGATATTTAATGAATGTAGGAAATTTACAAAATATCTTCATGGAACATAATCTTTACTTAATATCCTAATGATTTTTGGCATAAAAGAAAAATTGATAATTTTGACTGGTACAGTGTATTGTTGGCTATTGCTACAAATATGCATGTGCTACTTATGACTGCTCTTGTCACATATGTTCCCAAAGCCCTGTGTTTCCCATGATTTTTATGGCGAATAATGAACAAATGATAAAGGGTCCTAAGTTCCCACATTTAGGGTTTTGGGTTAGGGATGGGCTAACATTGGAAAACAGGGCTAAAAAAAATGTCACCTAAATAAATAAATACAATTTGCTGTTAGTTTAATTACCCTCAAGCCATTGAAGATACAGGTGACTTTCCTCAGCAGAACACTAAAGATTATTTATGGTCCTTGGTGATTCATAATATGCAAGTCAATGGACACTGTCACATTGAGAGTCAAAAAAAAAATAATTGACCAGATACAAAAATACTCCTGACAACATACTGAGGTCTTGTAAAGCTAAATGACCTGTCTGTGTAAGAACCTGAAAACTATATTAATACCAGAAAAGAGATACAGAATCCCCTCTGAGCAAATGCAACAGATTTTTTTTCTTAATGATCATACAATTCATGGAAAGATGGCAAAATTTAAATTAAATATATGTTGTTATTGATATATTTATATTGAAGATATACTTAATACAAGATAAATATGTCATTAATACCTGTAAAATAAGTAAATTAGCCAATTTTGTTTAAATGAAGGTTTTGAGTATGCCCTCGATTAAATTAAACAAACATACAGTTTTCTCGTACTTAATATGTCCTCTGTAATTTTACAACTCTGACCTTTCTTTACAAGTTTTTGACAAACTGTCTCATCATCTATCCTGTTTATCTCCTGAAAGATAACTGACTTAAATCCACTCTCTATTTAATTGTCAGATCCCCCACAGGTGCTCAAGAGTGTTAAGGTTGGGTGAAACACTTGTCCACAAAAGCTTTTACACTTTGGGAGAATCTATATACTGTAGTCATTGTGATGAAAAACCACCCAACAATGCAGGGAATGAGGAGAGGATAGCATCTTCAGTTTCAGGTTTTTGTATTACATCACACAGTGGTGTGTGAATTGATGACAGCATTGATTAAGCATCACTCCCTCACACGTCAGCACTCATGCATCCGTATATGAGAGCTTTACTACCACTGAACCTCACTGAGGGAACCAGGCGCTTCTCACTGTACTCCTCCTCTAGCAGCGCCATAGCATTTCAGATGCTGCTAGATCCAAAATGAATGATTTGGTCTCATGAGACCAGAGTATGGATTCCCAGCAGTCTATATTTTGTAAATATGGGCTTTGGAAAAGAATAAACGAGTTTACTGTGCTTTTGTTAAAACATTTTGCTAGTCAATATTTACTTACTATAAACAAAGACACCTATGAAGACCTTAATGTTTATTGTGACATATTGTAATGTTTATCTCTTAAAAAAAATATGCCCCATATTTTATGTTATGTAGGCTACAAACAAAACAAAATAGTAACCCACAAAAATTTCTCCAGTCAGTAAAAGTATGGGTTCAGCCTGTGTGTCAAGCAAAAATACTATTGAAAATAATTTTTTTAATTTATTTATGCATGAGCAGTGTTATTTGCTTTAAGTGTTATTTGCTAAAAATGCACTTTAAATAAATGATACAGTTTATTGATGTTTCTTTTTCTTTTTTTTCTTCTTTTTTTTCAGTAGCCTACAGAAGCCAGGTAGGGATTACTTTTATGCCGCTTTTGATTTTTGAGCTTCCATTTGGGTCTTCAGTCAATTTCATTGTATGGATCTACAGAGATGAGATTTGTATTTTTCTTCGTTTGATGTTCTGCAAAAGAAAGAACGTCATACATTTGTATGGAAATGTATGTAAGGAAACTTACATAAAAAATAATCTGTAAATACAAAAAAAAAATAATAATAGTTTGTTTGTTAAATAACCCAGTTCCCCATGCGCTCCACATCTAGATCAATATTCGAACACACACACACACTACATTAAGGTGTGCGTTCTAAGATAATATTCTTTAGTATGCATGTAGAGCCTGCATCGTTAGAGCGCCACCGGGCTGAATTACGCAGGGACACTAGACCTCTGCCCCAATGTGTTCAGTCATCTGAATGTAAAACATAGGTTAGTCATATAGCCTACGATGCGACCCAGAATCTGTCCCACCGAAATTCAGGATACTGGTTACTGGGTAGACTTTTGCTTTCCAAGAGCTTTTTGGGGGTTTACAATTTAGCCCCAGTCTTATCTATACAGAAATATAAATGTATCAATATCTGACTGAAATATTTCTCATCACAGAGAGATCGGTCATGGCTTCAGCCGAAAGTATAAGAATAGCTGGTAGGAGTGGTCTGAAGAAAACTGGATCATTTACTTAAAGGCGACTGTAAGTTTACTTTAGTCCTTACATTAGCTGCATTACATTCAGTGCAGTGATGCGCCCAGAACACACACGCACACGCAACGTTTTCATTGATATATTTTAAGTGAATGTCTTCCGTCGGTGCTTTCTGAGTTTAAAGTGAGACACACGCTGAGCTGAGGGTTCAGCTGCCTGCTTCTCTCTCAGCAGAGGTGTTGAGCGCGGACCGTGGATGAGTTGCAGCGGCACAGACCGCGAGCTGCGGACCGCAGACCCCGGAACTCCCGCGGAGAAGGTACACCGCATTCACTCCGAATCACATTAGTGAAAGTAGGGAAGCGACTGCCTCTCAAGTGAGTCAAGACATTGATCTTTATGCTCTCATTCCAGCAGGATTATTATTTTATTTTAACGGAGAAGACGCAGCAACATATAGCCTATGTATCCTATTCAGACTGTCTTTATTTAAACGTTGCTGTGTGTCTACAGTACCTACAGATCTGATCACTAAAATACCTATTGTATATTTGAAAGCAATGGCTAAGTTGATGATATATGTAACGCTATAGGACTAGTCATGATTTCACTTGTAGAGATCTTAAAATAAATTGTCAGCATAATTCTAGAATTTTACAAAGCATGGCCTAATTACATCTTTTCCCACTATGATTAATATACTTTTAAGTTTAATTAAATGTTGCTAGTTCTATGATTAGACCTGTTACTCATTAAAAATAAATAAATAAATAAAAGTTAGTGGACACAGTGAAAACAGAATTACAGATATGTAGGCCTGAAATTTTCACTAGTCAAACTAATCAGGTCTATAACATGAATTATTAGTAGTAAGCTAGTAGGCCTAGTAGTAAAGCTGGGAGCATTAAACGCTAAATTAACTTCCCAGACCCTATTTACACTTTAGGGTAAAACCATTTGGGATCGAATCACGTTGGTTCTGGGAAAACTAAAGAAAATATATCAGAATCAGAATCAGAATCATATGAAAGGTGAATCACAAAACTATGCAAACGGACGCATTTACACTTTTGATTTCCTAAACATTTGGTAGAAGAGTGGATATATGAGAGGGGTGGTAAAAGGATTGCTGGATGATTCTCTCAGCTTATAGAATCATGTGTTTTGGTAAAAAAAAAAATCTTAAGAAATTTTACTTAATGATCAGTGATACAGTTCATGGAAAGATTGCAAATTTGAAATGTATACTTAATACACACCAAGACATATATGTCATTATTATCTGTAAAATAAGCCAATTAGCCAAACCCTTGGCAAAATTCATCAAGCATATAACATTCTAGTACTTAATATGTCCTCTGTAACTTTAATAAATATACTACTTGTAACAGTTTAGATTATGGATCACTGTTCACTATCTAATTGCTTATTAGCATGCATATTACTATCCCTGATCTTTAATGTGGTGGAGTGTTGCTCAAATTGTCTCTACAAAATCCCCCACAGGTGCTCAAGAGTGTTAGGGTTGGGTGAAACACTTGTCCACAAAAGCTTTTACACTTTAGGAGAATGTATATAGCCTTTGTCATGTTGAAAAAAAGCGCTTTTAACAATACAGATTGAGTCAAAGCAGCTTTACAGTATTAAATAGGAAAAAATTGTGTGTAATAATACAAAAGGACAACAGTAAACACTCAGGCCACGTTCACACAGCAGCAGAATACGGTTGTCAGTCCTGTATTTGAGTCCTTAATACGGCTACGTTCACACACAGTATGGTTATTTACAGGTGTGACAACCTCATTCTGTAACCGAACTCACACCTGTAAATTTTCAGGACTCACAACCGCATTCTCGGAAAACACGCGCTGTGTGAACGGAACAGGACTGGACAACTGGTTGTCTGTCACGTCATACAGTGCGAGAGAGAGCCCAGGAAATGTCAGTTTTAGGCTTGCAATCAGGATTAGGTGTTTCTACACCCTTGTTAATCAGCTATCATTTCCCTCTGATTTTAGGAATAAATTATGGGTAAGGTTAGGTTTAGGGGTAGGGATTGGGTTAAGTCTGTATTTTGGACAGTAATGTTGATCCAGGATCAACAAAAGATGTTGATCCAGGAACATGTCTTACTTGGCAAAATCACGGCGACCCACATCATACAGTGCGAGAGAGAGCCTACCGTGTGTTACATGTTTTCATGTGTGGTTTCGGTAATTTAAAGTGACGAAGAAATGAGCTGCGTGTCATCTGAAAGTTTTAGATCCAGACGTTTTTTCACCGGAGCCGCTCCCATCAGTTTTGTGTTCTGCGCGCGACTCAAATATGCTCTGCTCTCTACCCAAATAAAAGCTGCTGTCGGTTAATGAAGATTTGACGGAAGAACTCGCGGCTCGATTGGACTCTTGTCATGTCAGAAGGGATGAAACTTTAAGTATTATGGACATTGCCATCTTTGATATTACTTCGGTCACTGTTGCTATGGTTACTGAAGGAATACGGGCTTGACTCCCGTTGCACGTTCATACAGACAGTATTCGAGACGCTACTGTAAGCTGCTGTGTGAACGGGACATTATGAGACTCACACCTGTAAGTAAATGCGGTTGTCAATCCCAAAAACTGACAGTGTGAATGTAGCCTCAAATGTTACCAATAATAATTTATAATGTGGCCAGACCAAACCAGCCTGGCGTGGCTTAATTCCAGGCTGCAGCAAAATCAGATTGTGCAGAGGACTCACCTGGTTCCTGTGGTCTCATCCCTATATGAGAGCTTTACTACCACTGAACTTCACTGTGGGAAGCAGGCACTTCTCACTGTACTCCTCCTCTAGCAACATCTGTTAGACTGAAATGAATGATTTGATCTCATGAGACCAGAGTATGGATTCCCAGCAGTCTATATTTTGTAAATATGGGCCTTGAAAAAGAATGAATGAGTTTCTTGTGCTTTTGCCACAGAAAGTAGTTTCGGTGTGGACAACAACCATGTATGTCACTTCTGTAGGCTCCATCTTACTCTGTGAGATAAACAAAACAAAACAAACAAAAAAAAACATCACAAAATGAAAGCTTAATAAGGTTAAGGCCTGATTATTTTAGGGTCCTTGCCACAAGTCCATTGTTTTTGAATTTTTGTGTTACTTGTACCATTGTCCTCTGTGCAAAGCCATAAGTCTCCTGACAGTGCTCTCACAAGTGGTTCCTGCATTAAGTCTGAGAATGATTCAATGGGCTATGTAACACATTTAATTATCAAGACATTACTTCTCTTTAAACGTATTGGTTTAATAATCCTATCTGTTGATCTTTCTCTCTCTCTTTCTAATATGTAGCTGCTGCGTCTGAAACGCTCGCTCACATTTATGCGGAGTAAAAGTGTGGAGAACTTCTTCCAGCGTTCTCAGAGCGATGCTTACCCACCAACAGAGCTCTTCTCTGGTGCCCTGCCTTCTTCCCCGCGCCTGTTTACTGGGCCTGCACCTGGTAACAGCAGTGTTGTTTTGCCCTCCCCAAGCATCAGCTCTAGACCTGCTCCATTTGTTGTGCAGCCGCGACCAGCACAAACACACTCCTTCCTCGAGCATGTGTTCCGTCGACCCACCAGCTGCAGTCTGTGCAAGCTCATTATTGCAGGTAAGCAGGGAATGAAAAGTCTTTCTATTTTTGCACTTCTGTCCTCGTTTTAGCAACTCTTGCCAGACTTGGCATTTCCTCCCTCCTTTCATTTGTCTTCTCTATAAGATTCTCATTTACATTTGCTTGTGTTCATTTAGTAGAAGCTTTTATCCAAAGCAGCTTAAAAATAAGAAATACTACAACGTAAGTGATTCATACCAAAGAAAGTAAAAGGAGAAGTGCCACAAAGTTCCAGAATTGCTCATAAAAATGTTAAGCTACAGTAGGACAGAATAAAGTAAGACAACATGAGACAGTAGTAGGAGTTTCAGTTTTAGTGAGGGACTATGATGTATTGAATAGCTGGACTGTTTGGAATGACTAGATTGAGTAGGTGGCTATCTGTCATCCTGGCTGAGATACCTTCCAGTAAAGATGAGTTCTGTGCAGTCATTGTGGGATAATTTTCATGCTGGAATGAGAAAGTAGAACTGTGTACCCTTTAGCATTGCAGGAATATCTGTGTGCCTGTATGATATGTCCCAGTAATATTGTTCATATCAAAAGAGAAATGGTCCAACACCTAATCCCTGAAGCACTTCCAGCATGGACACTTATCCTCTCCAAGATATTCTGAAGGATCTTACATCGAAGTAAATTTCATTCTCATTTGCATGATACCCAGTGTAGATCTGGGGATCTACTGGGGGCTCCAGACCGGTCTAATGCAATGCATGACCTGAGCAGTGAAAGGCCAAAAAAGACCTGATTAAAAACAACTTGTCCAAGTATTTTCACTGTGAACAAGAGGTAGTAGTAGTATAGATAATATAAGGTTGAAAGTTTCAGACCTAAAAAAAAAAAAACAACATTTCTTCACACCAAGCAGCCAAAACAACTTTTTTTTTTTTT